CAGCGGTGAATGAATGGAAACCCAAAATCTCTGTAAATGTTTATGAAAATTAATAAAATATAATTATAGAAAAAAATAAAAAAAGAACAAACACATATGTTTTGGAAAAGGAACACCCAGAGTACTACTTACTTAGAGGCAAAATAATGAAACTTCATTTTACATACTTTGAGCATGTTGCTAAGAGAGGTTATTCCTTAGATAGGGACATCATGCTTGAGAAGGTGAAAGGGTGGTGAAAGAGAGGAAGACCTTCAACCAGGTAGGTTGACATGGTGACTGCAGCAATGAGTTTGATTGTGTCTGAGATTGTTAGAATGGCATGAGATAGGACAGTGTTCTGATTGGTTATTCATAGGGTCTCTATGAGTCAAACTTTATTCTATAATCACCACCTTTGTTTGGACTAGCAACACAATTTCTTCTCTATTAGCTACCAGTGCTTCTTTAACAAAGATACAGAATATTTACATGCCAGAATAAACCAACTCAACCTAATAGACATATACAGAACACTTTACCCAAAAATCCCAGTACAGCAAAGTCTCTATTATTTTGCAGTACACATGAATCATTTTCCAAAAATAGACTACAATTTGACCTCAAAGCAAGTCTCAAAATTAAAAATATTATAATAATACAAAGCATTTTTATTAAAACATGATGAATATATAAATTAATAGCAAAAAGAACAAAGAAAAATATCTAACTCTTGGAAACTGAATAACATTTGGCTAAAGAAGAAGAAATAAAAAAGTTTTCTTAAAAATCCTAGAATCAAATAATTATGCAAACACCATACATCATACACTTCTCACACAGTGAAAGCAGTGTTCAGAAATCGATATATTGCAATAAAAGTGTATATCAGAAAAGAAGGGCCAACTCAAAATATTAACCCTACAATTTGAACACATAGAAAGAGAGCAGTAAATGCTGCCCAAAGTCACTAGGAGATAGTGAATAATAAATATTAGAGAAGTCTGGTGTGTGTGGAGGCTTTATTTAACTAATTGAGAAAGTTTTAGATGTACACAAGGATTTTATTTTTAGCAGGAATGGAATTTATAAATATATATATAATACATTTTACACACTTATATTGAAAGTCTCTAGGCTTATATAATATTAAAACATTAAGATATATGCACATTTTATTTTTTAAATGCATGTTTAATTCTGATTAAGTGCATAAATTTTTTTATTTTGCTATAACCATATAGACAAGCTTGCATATATTTATCTTCATACATAAAAAGGATGTTACTCAACTAGTTATATTAGTTTTACATACATAAAAATATTTTTTGGCTTTTTAAAAATTATACTAGTTTATTTACAAATTTCAAATCCATTGTTTTTCACACCAGCTCCTTCCCAAATCCCTTACCCCTCCACCATCAAATTGTGTGACCCCCATGATTAATTGCCCCCCATCCTCACTCATCTGCTTCCATCCTCCCCCTACCCCCTTGGAACCTCATACTTATTCTACAATAGTAGTTTCATACCACATTTGTTCTTATGGGACTGAGTTTACTCACCATAATGCTCTCCAGTCCCTCCCAGGTTAGGTAAAAATTTACAGTATTATTGCTCCAGTGTGCTGCATAGTATTCCATTGTGTTAATGTACCATAATTTTTCAAACCACTCAATTGTGGTTGGACATTTGCATTATTTTCATATTCTTGTGATGGTGAGCAAAATAGCATGATACTGGTACAATTACAGGCACATAGGCCAATGTAACAGAATTGAAAATCCAGAAATAGACCCAACTGATATTAAACAAGGAAATAAAACCTATCATATGGGAAATGACAACCTCTTCAATAAATGCTGGCAAAATTGTACTGCAACTTGCAGAAAGCTGAAATAGGACCCACATCTCACGTCATACTTAAAAACCAATTCAAGATGGATCAGAGACCTGGGAGTAAAGCCCCAAATCATAAAGTTCATAAGAGACAAACTGGGATGAAGCTTATAAGGCCTAGTCTATGGTATAAAGTGACTGACAAATACAGCCAGAAATGCATAATCTGAAGAATAAAATTGATCAATGGGACCTTCTAAAGATTAAATCCCTTTCTTCATCAAAAACTTTCCAACAGGATGAAAAGAAAATCTACTGACTGGGAAGAAACTCTTGGCAATACCATCTCAGACAGGAATCTCATAATGAAGGTTTACAGAATAATCCTGGGCCTCCATAAGAACAAAGACTGATAACCCAATTACAAAATGGGCAAAAGATATGGAAAGAATTTTTACAGAGGAAAATATTCGGATGGCAAACAAACACATGAAGAAATGTTCAAAATCAATGGCAAGAAGAGAGATGCAATTCAAAACCACAATGGGATAACATCTCAGTCTAGTAGCAGTGGTAAACGTTAACAGGACAGCAAGTAATAAGTGTTGGAGAGGATGTGGTGAGATAGGAACCCTTATGCATTGTTAGTGGGATTGTATAATGGTACAACCACTCTGGGAGGCAGTTGGGAACTTCCTCAAAAAGTTGAACATAGAAATTCTGTATGACTCAGTATTCCACTGCTGGAAATATACCCTGAGAGAATGAGAACTGAGACACAAATGGAGACTTATTCAACAATGTTTATATGCACATTTTAGAACAAAAGGGGGACAATAGGATTTAATGAAATTATGCTATTTTTCCTCTCCTGGTTGTGTATTCTTTACTATGGTTGAAAGTTTATTTATGCTATAGATTAAAGCTTATAAATTCATTCTAAATTTTTATCTGATGAGAAACTTTATCATTTTTTATTTTATCTCTAAATTCCAGATCCATCTTGAGTTCACTTTTGGATATGATATGAGGCTAGATTAGCATTAACACACAAAAAAATAGGCATAAAAGCAAAATAACCTAAAAAAATTAAGATTGGTGCCATATTGATAGAATTAACTGAAATAAAAAGGATCGTTTAAAAAAATACCATGAACTGTTCTCTCGCTCATGCGTTTCAATGCAGTATACATAATTTATCCAGGTTTCTCATTCTTACCCCAACCCTGATGTCAGTCCCATTCTACAACAGTGACACTATGTACTGTTTGTCCTTT